CCATTTGGTTCAGAGGAATGTTTATTATTTGAAATTTCACCTACTTATGAATCATTCCCTGCAACCAATTTTAATTCTAATTACGTATATTACAATACATCATTCGGTATAGGATTTGGTGGTACGGATGCTGTCCGTAAAACTTCCACGTTAGATAATAAAAATTTTAATTCATATTTCTTGCAGATTGATAATACTCTGCAAAGTGGTACTTATAAGAATGATACACTTAAGAAGTCTCGTTCTGCGTACAAATTATCAACAACGAGAACGTACTTTGATATAGAATTTGAAGTTTCAGAAATTCAGGTATTTGGGTTGGGCGGAGAAAGTGCAAAACAACAACAGGATAAGGAAAAGAAATGGGAAGAAAATTTTGCGACAAAGCGAAAACATTACAACAATAAATCTGCCGATAAGGAAATGCTAAAGGTAAGATCATATTCATATTCATATTCATAGTTATGATTACACAGATTTTAGTTATTTTTTATTAAATGGTCAATTACCTTTTTTTAGTATGCTTCAATTATCAATCACGAATATCGAAGAGAAGTTGATACTGTTTGATGCTAATAATCAGATTTTTCGATTAAATTTTAATATTTGCCTTGTTTAAAGGCCAATCGTGTCGAAATATTCTACCACGCACTTAAAATTGAAATCACCCCTATTTTTCTGCATTTATTATATTTGATTATTATTATAAAAAACAATTATAATTTTGATAGCTTGTATTGAGAATTAATATACATTATTCTTTTGTACATATGGTTTTCGGTTAACAAAAAACATTTAAAGATATATTCAAATTTTTAAATAAAAGTAAAAATACTTAAAAACTATATATCATATTAAATTAATGAAAACTATATACAGTATAATAATAACTACGTATTGGGCGATAATGTTATTTCTACACAGAAAGTAGAATAAACTCTAAATCTTTCTAGATTAAAAAAAATATAAAACAAATAAAATAAAATAAAGAAAGGAACGTCAAATTTTATTTTTGTACCACCTCCCCTATATACACAATGGAAATGATAATGGTAATTTAATATTTAAACTGGTTTACAAACACATGTTATTTTAAAACCGGTTCAATTTCAAATTTTTTTATACAATGGCGTCAATCATATGTAAAATTTTAACCTAAAACTAGAAATTTTTTCGCACCATGAGAACCATTGACGCACGTCATTTAGGCGCCACCGTATTGGTAACAATTTTTTGGATATATTAATTGACTGTATCGGGTATACGTATACTGTATTTCAATTACTTTATGCATTAAATTTTGCTTTATTCGATAATTGTGCGTATACTTGTTTAAAATTTTGAAAATTTAAAACACCAGTTTCTAAGATTCAGTGAAAACGCAGATATTAAATTTTTGTCAATCAGCACAATTCTATTAAAGAAAAAAGATGCAGACTAACTTGGTCGGATAAACTATTTTCCACTTATTAAAATTGAGCACGATCCCTACAAACACCTTTACTACAGTACTATTATCCATTATATCCATAAATACGTAATTAATTCTAAGATCTGTTTATAAAAGTTAAAAAGAATTATAACAGTGTAATCTAAATTCGGAATACATTTTCCTTGGGCTAACCCTTAAAGTCATAAAAGTCCGTTTTTTAACAAAGTATTTTGTTTATTAAAACGCACTTTTTTGATCGGACGAAAATATTTGATTTGATTGGTGCAAACTTCTATATGCGACTTTACATCATTTTTGAATTTCTCATGCAGAAAATGCTGTGATCTTTAATAAAGGTAACCACACAGAGAATTTCACACTTAACTGGTTATTTTAGTGTAAATGACACGTATAATACTGTATATGCTTAGTTATACTTACTTACCATGGTAAAATCCAAATTCTGCATCTCAAAAATATTTAAAAACGCACCAAGTTTTTTTCTAGCCAAAATTTGAACAATAACTTGATTAAATCAATTCTATAAACTTGTAAAATTCATTTAAAAAAGAATTTGTACCAAACTTGATTAAACCTTGGGTTATTTTTTTGGCAAAAAGAATTTTATTAAAAAGATTTGGTCCGTTTCTACTTACTCCCATATATTTGCAAAATTTCAAAAGATTATTGTTCGAAGCATAAAGGACTCCTTACGTGTTGGCAAATTGAATGAACACTCATGTATGTAGTGTAACTTTCTTGTAGTTGGTCAATTACATGAAATTTAATGATAATTTATACTATATATTTTAACACGTGATAAGTAATAAATAAAATCGGATTCAATTTTTTTCAAATATTTTTTTGGGGAGGGCTTAAAATTTCTAATACAGTACTACTATATAGATGACGAAATGGTGCAATTTTAAAAAAAGCTTATTTACCTGATGTGGGCCGATGCCAAACTCTCAGGTAAATTTTTATTGATATTAATTACTGTATTATTATAATTTTTTTTTTCTTTTTTTAGGTCGATTTTCCTTTTACTGTTGATGACGAAGAAAAGTCAAAAAAAGCGTGGGAATTATGTAGTCGATCTTTCAACTTAGATTGCGTATCATGATGATACGAAATGATTCCAAGACGATGATAAATGAAGTTAAATTTTTGAAAATAAGTAAATTCTTTGACAATCATTTAATTTACTATTGGCTAGATTTTGATGGATACTATGTCGAATATTTTGATTGTTGGCTGGACCACCGCCAAATACAACACAAAATAGAAAATTTTTTTTAATATTTTACGTGAGATACAGTAATCGTTTATAATTTTTTATGAGTTTAAGCAATGAGAATATAATTAATGTATAACATTTATCAACTAATCTTTAATAAAATATAGAAAAGTTCGAATTTATTTATTATTAAATGTCATTAAATAAGCTACTAAATTTAGACGGGCCCACAGATACCTTGAAGTACTTGGTTTCGGAGTTTATCTCCCAACCGTCATGTAGAGGTGTATCTCATTGATTGAAAAGAACCCCAACCCATTTCTTTTTCATGAGGCAGTTCTCTAAGCTGATTGGATCATAAAAAAAAATGTATATTTCTGATCATGTGATCTAGCATCGCACGTAACTGACATTTTGTTGTCATAGGGTGTTCTCAAGCACCTCACTCAATGGATCGAAGGTAAATTTTTTATTAGTCGGAAATGAATAAATTAACAAAGTGAGTTACCATTTTCGATGAACAAATCAGCCTTTATTTTTATGCTCGAAGCTTTTAAAACAAATAATCTACGAATGTAACCCATTTTTTAACCTTTATAAAACTATAATGAATACTGCTATTCCATATTTAATGGATAATGAAGGTTATAACTTTTTTTCGAAACAATTTTCGTATTATATATGCTACTTTCAGTGCGAAATAGCAACTGCAGAATTACTATAGGTTGCTTATAAACAAAAATTTTAAAATTTACAGATTATTGACGAAAAAAAAAGGTTTACTTCTTGTTGCCGTAAAGAAACTTTCACCAATAGCTCGTAAGTTGATTCCGTTGCTATTTCAACAAAAATTTAAATTGATAAAATTATTAAAAGGAGAAGCCAGCGTAACTGAAAATTATGAAAAATAGTAAGAGTACGCTTAAGCATTTAATTCCATAAATATCGTTATTGATTGTGATGCTTGAGCGTTATGATCAAGATGCTTGAGAACAACCATATTCAACAATCTTACATAGGCTGTTCTCAAACATCTAAATCAAGTGATCAGATAATAATCGTGATGACGCTTCAAGCATCACAATTGATGACAGAGTTAAATGTTTGAGCATACTTTTTCTGTTTTTCGTAATGTTCGCTTACCAGTGATGGTAAATAACCTGGTCATTTGCAAATTTTTCAAATGGCCTCAAATGACCTCGAAATGGCCGGTCATCTCAATTTTGGGTCATTTGGAAATGACTCGTGACCAAATGACCATGGTCATTTAGAAATGACCGGGGTCA